CCTTAAAGCCCCCAGGTTTCAACAATAAACTTAAAAGATTACTCCAGAGCAAGTTGGAGGAGTCTTAACTTTATGCTTATGTGCCTGCACATTAGCCTTAGCTCTATTACTATCTGAAAATACACCAATAAAAATATGAGAACATTTTGAAATCAAAACATGATTACTTGTACAAGCTAAGAGAGGAATAAGAACAGGAAACTCATCTTTGCTTTTCTATGATAAGGCAAACAAAAGTAGCAAACTATAATCTTAAAATACTGAAAGGAGTAAACAGTCTTTCTCAGATGTGATCCAAAAGCAAAATTAAGTGACAAATGACCTCACTGTAATATGTACTGAAGTTTCTTTCAGATAACTCACCAATGTCTTGCTGCAACAGAACTAGTTCTCAGCCTTTTCATTCTTTCAACTAGATTCAATTCTTAAGTTTTAGTTGCATTTTTTTTTTTTTTTTTTTTTTTTACTTAAACCATTTACTTTAAAAAATATTTTAGTGCTGGGGATATAACTCATTTGGTAGAGTACTTGCTTCACATGTACAAGGCCTTTGGACTGGGTTCAATCCCCAGCACCCCCCCACACACACACACACAATTAAATTGATTCTTCCATTTTAACACAAAAAAGCAAATTATAGATTAGAGTGAGCAACAAGATCAGTTACGAGAAGACTAGCTCAGAATTAAGAATCACTCTAGACTAAAATCTATTGACTCAATGGAGGTCCTGGTATAACAGATTCCAATGAATGTAACAAGCGTGTCCAAAGTATTACTGGGATAAATGAGCCTTATGTTTATTTCTCTAAGTCTATATCTTTCTCAACAAAATTTTAAGAAAAAAGAATAGGTGATAGCTCAGAAGCACAATTTCACGTAAAAACTTCTAGCTTCTCACATCAAAACAAAGAAAGGGACAGAAAAAAACTGTCATTAAAATATTTCTGAATTGTTCGTTATGAACCTTTGTATATTACTCATGGACAATATAGAGAGGACTATTATGCCCCAAAGGAAATAAATTCGAGATAACTACAACAATCTTAGTTCTTTATTGTTCTGTGGATTATATGTACAAATAGCAAACAGTACAATAAAGAGACTGGGCCTAGGAACTCAGGACTCAAGTGTTGCTCTGCAGATTAAAAACAATGCATTTGGGGCTGGGGTTGTGACTCAGTGGTAGAGTGCTTGTGTGGCACTGGGTTCAATCCTCAGCAACACATAAAACTAAATGAATGAATAGAACAAAGGTATTGAAGAAAAAAAATGTATTCATGCACATTTGTAATCCCAGCTATTCCAGAGGCTGTGGCGGGAGTGTCTCAAATTCATGGCTAGCCTACACAAATTAGCAAGACTCTGTCTTAAGATAAATTTGGAAAGGGCTGGGTGTGTAGTTCAGTGGTAGAGCACTTGCCTAGCATGCACAAGGCCCTAGGTTCAATTCTCAGTACTGCCAAAAGAAAGAAATAAAACACTGCATTTATATGTAAATTTAGTTTTCAGGACCTTGGATATTTATTAAAATTTCAAGCATAATGTGTTTCAACTTGAGGTATTTAATTATTACTCAAAATATATTACCAAGTTACATTAGCATAAAACCATAAATGCTCAGAGTCCTCCTTTATTATAAAACATTTTATTTAAACCAATTCTATTAGAAAAGTAGTCATGATTATGTTTTATATTGAAAGTTTGTTTTTAAATAGGCTTTATTTTTTAGGGAAGTTTTAATTCAGAGCAAATCTGAACAGAAAGTAAAATTTCCATACATTCCATGTTTGTTTTTAACATTTGGCTAGTCAACTGCCTAGGAAAAAGAGGGGAACACATATAAAGTGCAAGGGGTTAATCTCCATGGACCTCAGCTTAAAAAAAAAAAAGGAATTCTACCCTGAAGTGCTCCATGGTTTAGCCCTCCAGAAGCTGGAGAATGGCTGGGAACTAGAATGAACAGAGAACTGAATTTCTGTGATTTAGCAGCTAAGTGGCCTGGAAAGAGACTTATGTGACAGAAGAAAGGAATATTATTATATTATTTTAGAAGTCATCCAGTGTTTAAAAAAGCTGCAAAGGGCAAAGCACAGCATTTATGTAAATACAATATGTATTATTAATAATGCATATCATATATGTACAGCGACAAAGTATGGAACTATCAGTGAGAATGGAATAGATCAATTTTAGGTGATTATGTTTGCATCCTGGAAAGCAGTGATGGTAAAGAAATTCACCCTCATTATTCTGTATTAGGGGAAAAAGGTAACTAAAAAGGACAGGCCTGTTATATATTTTGAAATAAGGCCCATTTCCATTCTTCCTCAAGATTCCCTGGTTTATGTGCCCCTTTTTTCTTTGAGAAATTTCTCCTTAATAAATGTTTTCCTAATTTGCTATAGCCTGAATAAAATCATCTCCTTAGTGGGCCAGTACATTGTGTCTTTGACACAGGAATAGGTATCTCTGGGGAGAGAAGGGAATGGGAAGAAGATGCATATTTGGCTGAATATGGCAAAAAGTTAACCTTTTATAAAAATCATGCATACTTTACTGCTTAAAATGTTTCAAAATTATTAGCTTGGTTTGTTAGAACAGAGTTCTGATTAGGGTAAAGTTAACAGGTTAGAATATCAAGTAGACCTGAACTTTATTTTAGGGGCAAGACTATACTCCCACTTTCCAGAAAGCTATATATCTAAGCTGCCAGTACACATCTTGGTTATAAGAGCTAGGAAAGTCTATGTGTGACGTCTTAATCCATATCCAACAAAACTACTGAGCAAACAACCCTAGGAACTTGATGGTGGACTGGTAAACAATCTTTGCACATATAATAAAGAAACTGGCACACCCAGTACACACATAAAAAATTTTTTTCTCGAGGTGTGTAAATGTGGTTCACGTGGCGGTAGGCTCTTTTTTGGGTGGGGRCACTATAAAAATGAGACATCTAAAAATATGATCTCATTTTAAAGTGCCCAGGATGATTTTCTGAATTGGTTTCAAATTGCTTTTTTACAAGTGCTTCTAGAAGACTTGGTGAGTACCAGGAAGTAATTGTGCTGTTTTATAACAAACCCATTAGCAGTTAAAATGTAACCTCAGGAAGAAAGAAACAAACTTGGAATCAAGTATCAAACTAACAAATCTAAACAATTCCAAATACAGAAAGAAAATGCTAGACTAGAATCTAGGATAATARAGGAACTCTTCTTCTTCACAATATTTTCTAAGAGTTGGACTGAATGGAGATGCTTTGTGTTCACAAGACCAAATATACGAGTTACCTTTAAAAATGATGGGTCTGAATTCTGAACTCTTTATTCTTTGCAAGCATCCAAGCCAAAGTAGCTTGTAAAGGCTTCTTGATTTCACTAATACCAAAAAGTTTGAGATCTATTAGAATTCATCCACGTTTTTATTTCTTCTCCCCACAAGTACCAAGGAATAGGAAAAACACTTCCTTTATTTCATTTTAAGGTACAGAGGGTTAGGAATTTAAATTCTAATATTAAGTATTTAACATAAGCGTTTAACCAAAGTCAAAATATTTGGTCCTATTTTCAAACAAAAATAAAGACTGTATTAGAAACTAAAAAAAAAAAAAAAAAAAAAAAAAAAAAATTAATTCAGAAGACTCTAAAGCAGGCTCCAGTCCACTTCAAAGCACTTTCATCAAAAGGGATGGTCTTAAATTTATCAGCACTCAGACTTCAGTTTTAAAGTCTTCTAGTGTAAGGTACCATATACTTAAAATCTTAAAGATGTTAAAGACTTAAGATGGTGATCCTCTTGGTAACTTACATTAAACCAAAAAGAACCTCAGACTAAATATCAAACCCCTATTACACAACCTCAGCCATTAAGAAACTACCTGTTAATCTCTTTTTCTTCCACAGCCTGCATCTTCATGAAAATTGCAATACCTTAAGAAAACCAAAACTGCTATTCCACGAAAACATTCTGTATGCAGATAAAACTGGTACCAACTGATTCCAGACAGAGAGATGCAATAACAATGTGATATTTCTAGCAAAGTCTGGATAAGACTTTGCCTGCAAATCATTGACCAAAAATGGTAACAGTATGTGCACACTACAGAAAATAACAAAATGTTCTACCTAATCGTAGAACGCTGTTTTACAGCAGATGAGAGTGACAGTTTAGAGAAAAAAAGTAATATATAAATTAAGCCAAATCTCCATCATCTACAATAAACATGTTTACTTTTTAGTGACTCAGGTAATTTAACAGACTTTTTAAAAGCTCTTAAATTTGCTTGTATTAGCGTCCCACCATCATGCCCAAACCTTGCATGTCAAGTTGTGGCAAAGCCAAACTGTTTACAAGTAAAAGAAAGTTTCTATTCATACACGGACATATCGGGTAGGGAAGGGTTAAAAGAGACATTGCCAAGCTTGACAAGCACAACGAGAGTGCTGCTGGAAGCTGATTGCCAGATACGACAAACAAAGCGGCTGCAAGGCCACCCGGTTCTTAATCAWGCCAGGGTCACGCTCCTCAGCGATCATCCGCCCTCTAGGGTCGTTGAATAAAGGTCTTCTTTTCCTTATTGATGGAAAGATCTCAAGACGGAAACAGGCGCGGGTCACTGAGAGCCGGCTTAGGGGAAACCCGCGCCACAAGGCTCGTCGCCGGGTTCCAACCCCCCTCCCCTCGGGCCTGCAGACCCCTGGATCTGTATCCGAAGCTGTGCGGGCGTTCGCCCCTGTGTACCAAAGCCAGGAGAGACTCCGCGGAGGCCTCGCAGCAGCTGGGAGCCGAGCAAAGGCCGGGAAGCTGCCACAGAGCGCAGGGCCCAAACCGAGCATCGGAGGCCGGGAAACTCTCCTCGGTCGGGAGACGGCAGCCCAGCAGGGTTCCTTCCATCTGCGAGCGGGGGACGCGCCCCTCAGCTCCGTACCCTACCCGTCCCGGGGACTCGCAGTCCCGGGACGCCTCAGCCCATTCCTCGGGCTTTTTCCCACTCACCATTTTCACCGCAGCTGTCGGAGGGATGCAAGGGAGGAAGCCGACCAGCACCGAGTCTGCGGAGCGTCCTATTCGCAGCAGCGAGACCAAGAGACCGAACGGAGAGCCGACGCGGCGGCGCGAGCCTACCAAGGGGCGGGCGCGCGCCCCGGGCCGAAACGCGGCTGCGCACGTCACGCACCTCCCGCCGTTGCTTGGCAACCGGCTGGCCGGGCAACGCCCTGCCCCTGCGACCCTCGGGAATCCCAACTGCGGGGGGCGGGAGGAGCCTCAGTCACCTTTTTGGGGCTGTGGGGGCGAGTACCCCTTCACCAGCTGGGTCTTTGGGAATGTAGTTGGGTTCCCTAGTCCTGCTGAAGAGAAGGAGGCGGAGCCTAGGCTGACACCTACCGGCGAGGGACGGGCAAAGGGTGAGCCAGGATGGAGTGGCCATTCCCCTCCCTGGGGCGGGGTCAGAAGATGCCCCGCCCCCCCACGCAGCAGTTGCCCATACATAGAAGTAGCCACCTGGCCAGGTGTGCACCGCAGCTGGGGGCGGGGCTGGAGGCGGAGGATGGGCCCGGCCCGCGGCGGGTGCGGAAGGGAGGGAGGACTGCCGGGAGCCAGGCCCCAGCCGGGGCCGAGGGGCGGCTTCCCGCATTTTTTACCTACTTTGGTGTGATTCCCGCCACCCGCCCCTGATTGGCCAGCCCAGCACGTCGGGCCCTCGCGTGAGAGGGAAAGTCTGTACATTTTTCCTCCTTTCCGAGGCGACCGTGGCTGTTCAGAGTGCTCTGTGACTCACCGCTAATTTCAGGTCTGGAAAACAAGGAGTGATTTATTTATCTTTGGGAGCGGCCCAGAGGAGGCCGACGGCCCGCAGGGGTGTGGCTGGGAAATGGCTGCGTTGCCTTGGCCTGGTGGCGCCGGGCCCACTGCTCCGTTTTGAGGGGTTTTAATTTGGGACTGTGTTTTTCCAATGGGCGGTTGCAGCAGAAACAGTTTTTCAAAGGGACATTAGGAATCCCAACTTTTTTTTCTGAGGGTTTTTTTGTGGGGAAATAAAGGAAACAGGAAGAATCAAATGGGATGATGAAGTTTTACTTAATTTAGGCTACGGAGAACATCATGGTCTATACCAAAACTATTTTAATTCTCCAAAATGAGCCTTTTGGACAAGATGATTGGTATTGTGCCCCGCTCCCCGTGCTATATAAAGTCTAGGTTGTATGTGGCATTTGTTCTGCCACTCAACATAAAAACCCATTTCTCATTACTTTTTTTTTTTTTTAAGGCAGTAAGCAAGTTGTGTTATTTTTAAGCCTTTACCATTTGCTCTAGGATTTTTGGCAGTCCAGAGCATTGGCATTGGAATCATGTGGGTAACTTATTCGCGGTCAGATTTGTGAGTTTCTGATTTAGTACATCTAGGATGAGACCTAAGAATTCGCATTTCTAACATTTCCTAGGTGATGCTCCTGCTGCTGATTGGAGCTCACTCTGAGAACTCTGTCTAATGAGAAAGAACCCCTGTGTATCCAGCTGCAGCTGGAATCCTTTGTTTTTCTGTGTGCGGGAACTCACTGCCCTCACCTCCCCTACCCCCACYACCACCACCAAGTAGGAGACTTCCTTTCTAGTCCAAAATTGGAGCGTTCTCATTTAAGGACACATGCCTGCCTGCTCCAGSCTCTCTCACTTGTGTAGTTTATCTTTCACTCTACCACCAGTTATGGCCAAGCATAAGAATTCGATTCTGTTACTTTCCTGCTTAAAATTTTCTGTGTCTTCCTCCGGAATGTTCAGCAAGTCTAAAGTCTGTGGCATCTAACTGAAGCCTCAGTGTCCGTTTTCTACCATGTCTCCCACATCTTCCAAAGTGCCCACTTGTACCTCCTAAACTTCTCATTCCATTACCCTTCTTGCTCTTTCCAACTCCCATGATCACAAATCTGGTCATTATTCAACCTTAAATGTTCCTATTACCCCAGCAGTTTGTAGATTTCTCTGACCAGTTCCCAAGGAATCAATAGGGAACCCTTCTATAATCCCACAGTTCATCTCTTCTAGAATCTTAGCATCCAAATTGCCTGGGGATTCTGTTAAAAAAATGCAGATTCAGGAATTTAAGGGTGGAGTTTCAGATGCCACCAGAAGATTCAGATGCCTCCAGTCCTCAGACCACATTTCAGAATGATGTTTTATGGGTTTTCCCTACTGATAATGTAGTTCTGTAATTGTTTATATATATTTGGGACTATCACAAGGTTAGACTGGGAATTGCTTGGGGTCAAAAGATATTTAGGATGGATCTTATATGAACTGGCCTAGCCCCTCATACATCATAGTTTAATAAGTGTTGTTCATTAAGTGAACTGGTATCAGAAGATGTTTTAGGATATATGTATTAGGATATATACAGTTCATTGTAGCTTAAGAAGAACTCTTTTTTTTTTTTGAGATTCCATTGAACTTTAGCTTTTACATTCACACTTAACRTGTTCTAGATATTTTCCCACCTCATCTCACAAAAAAGTTTTAACAAAATTCTTTAGACTGTTTTTGTCCTCCTCCCTCAGTTCAAATATGGAACTCTAATCCCCAGTGTGATGGTATTTGGATGTAGGCCTTTAYGGTATGATTTAAATTATGAGGGCAGATCCTCCAGGAATGGGATTAGTGTCTGAGACCCAGAGACTCCTTTGCCCCTTCTACAAGTGTGGGCACACAGAGGCTGTCTATGAACCAGGAAGTGGTCCCTCCCCAGACACTGAGTCTACTGTTGCCTTCATCTTGAACTTCTCCAGCCTCCAGAACTAGGAGAAATATTTCTGTTGTTGATAAACCACCTGTATGGTATGGTATTCTTTTACAGCAGTCTGAACAAGCGATATCGCATAAGATCTCTTCTTAAACATGAGATGAATGTATTCCATTTTCATTTAGAAAACATTTGCATAGTTAACAATCTATGGACTTATAAGCACTTTCATTTAAAACCATTAATATGAGTGGCAAGGAAGAATAATTTATACATTAATGAGGCACTTGCAGAGACACGTAGGTTAATAGGTAGTCTGGAAAAACTTCTTTTGCCAAAGGTCATAACCCTATTGGAATACAGCATAAAAAAAAAAAAAAKACTATTCTGACTCCTCCCTTGTCTCCCCACAAATATGCTTCTTTATTTATACCCTGTCCTTATTCATGTCTATAGTCTTTAACTTTAATCCTATAAGTAAGACATGAATATATTCTCATTATGCCTGTTTCAAAMGAGCTGGACACGGAGGGAACACCTGTAATCCCTGCTACTCGGAAGGCTAAGGTAGGAAGATCATAAGTTTGAGGCCAGCCTCAGCAACTTAGCAAGACTCTTGTCTCAGAATAAAACTGAAAAGGGAGTAGTTCAGTGGTAGAACTACACCCCTTTATCCAACGTATGAAGCCCAGTGTTCAATCTTGCAAAAAAAAGATTCAAATAGTACAACAAAGGAAGACCCCTTGAGTACCTACTTTACTTTGCCATAATCTCAGTCCCCTCCTCAGAGGTAACCACAGACGTTAATTTGATGTGGCCTTACAGAGAAGTATGCCTTATGCATGTGTTTTGCTTTTGGTGTTTTTTTTTTTTTTTTAATGGTTTTATGCTGGCTTGTAGTGTCCTATAGCTTGCTTTCATGCAGTTAATAATTGTCTTGGTAACCTTGCCTCATCAATAAATCATTATTGTAATTGCAGTAAAGCATGACTGTTCATGACTCTTTCCCCTACTGATAACCATTTAGGTTATTTCCAATGCATAGCTACCACAAACAGTGTTTCAGAGACCAGCCTTAGGACATATGACAAATATGGGGAGTCAAATATTTGGTTTAAGGCTAGGCTAAATGAGTTCAAACTCTTCAAAATCAATGTGAAAGACTTTATCATATTTATGAAAAATAACCACATGGATAGATCCCYAAGATACACTGTTGAATGAATGAATAAAAACAAGATGTAGTTCTGTATATGTTGCTGAGATATTTGCATTTTTAAAATGTCTTACGTTGTCAAGACTTAAAAATAGTGGTTTAAACCACTATTTTATTTGTGAAGTTTATTTAGAAAAGAAATGCAGAGGTATAGTTCAGATTTGGTATATTAATTTGCTAGTTTTTGAGATAGTCTCTATACAGTTGTTTTGTTGTACATGGTTTCCTTTCCCTAAGTCACCTAATGGTCCACCGTAGCTGCCAGAGCACTAGCTGTTACGTCCACATTCTATGGCAGTAAGAAGGAAGAAAATATAAAAWGGACACCCCTCCCTTTTTAAGGAAACTTCCCAAAAGTACAGGATTGCCAGTTTTATCTCGGTGATCAAAACTTGGTTATAAGGCTGGGAAATGTGGTCTCTGCCCTGACCAGTAGTATGCTTGGCTAAGAAATTTGGGTTCCTTTACTAAGGAAGAAAGGGAAAATGAGAATATTGAGAGATAGCTAGTGGTGACTGCCATAGGTATATATTTTGGTCTCATTCTACTGGTGAGGTAGGCTAAGATGTTCCTTGGGAGCCCAGAGGAATAAGCAGTGTGCTCCAGGCTCATGACCCTTACCATTAGACCACATGACACAGCATTCATGAGGAARGAGGATCAAGAGAACTGAGGTGTCTTTTAGTGCTTCCCTAACACAATAGAAATATGTTAGTGTTAAAACAACGAATGGAAACTGCAGAAAATACATTCTTGACATTCCTTTACTTACTGCCCATAGCCTGGTCCTGATGGATCATGCCTCCTCCAAGCCACTGGCATCTATTTTTGGTAAAGGCTAAGTATATTTGAGTATATTCATGGAATGATACAGTATCACATGATAACATTATTGATTTGTCTATTATTAGTCTTTAAGATAGAGTAAAAGTCCCATGCTACTCTTTCATAATGTTTAAGATCGAACAATTCTGTGTTGTTTTTTTTTCAGATAATAGTGTACTTCTTAAGGTAAACCATGAAAAAAATGGAATACAAAATAGCATACCAATCCCTTTTTTCATTTTTTTAGTGCATTTTAACTATACAGAATAATGGGTTTCATTGTGGCATTCTTACATGCAAACAATATACTTTGATCACACTTACCCCGCATTGCCCTTCTAACCATCCCCTAAAGGTGGGGGAGGGAAATCCTTCA